CGCCGCTGGTGGCGCCGGCGGCGGGGCGGCTGAAGGGATGCCCGGAGCTGACGGTGGAGGGCGACATGCGGGAGATGGCCAAGACGGCGGCCTGGAGCGTCAGCTCCTGCAAGCCCGGCAACGGCGTCGCCTCCATCCGCGACGACAGCCTCGACACCTACTGGCAGTCAGTGCCCCGCACCCATCCTCCCCGTCGAAATCTCTCCTCGTTCTGTCTCGCGGAATCACAGGCTGAGCCGAGCCGCCGTCAGTGGTGGATTTTATTTTTGTCAGGTCGGACGACGCGCAACCGCACCTGGTCAACATCCAGTTCCAGAAGAAGGTGCAGCTCCATGTGAGCGCTACGAGTCGCCGAGCTGCTCCCGCTTGATTTGGTTTGGATGGCGCGTGATCCTTTTTCTGTTTCTGAATTTGTTTGTTGCTGGGGGGTTTCAGCTTGTTGTGCTCTACGTGGATTTTAAGCTGGACGAGAGCTACACGCCCAACAAGATCTCCATCCGGGCCGGCGACGGCTTCCACAATCTCAAGGTAACACCTTGTTTCTGAACATAGCAGTGAGGTGCCCAATGAGAGCACACACGCACGCATCTCTGAATTATAACTTATGATGATCTGTGCTTGATGGTGAGAGCACTCTGCAAATGTTGTTGGCATTTGATGCCTGCCCCTTTCAGTTCAATTTCTCATCCTAGTCCTGATCTTGTACCAAACTAAGAAATAGTCTGGTCTGTGCATTCGGGTTTCCGGAGCTGGGGGCTACTGCATGTTCTGATGTGATGTGTTGTAGTCATGGATTTCACTACCTTATTGTCGCATCATATTCTTACATATCATAGGATTCCGGCAAAAAAGAAGAAGAAGAAGACTATCATAGGATTACCTTATTGAAATATTGATTGGGAAACTTGATCTCTTTCTGCAATTCCTCTGCATTGCGCATACTTGTCCATTGAACACTGAACCGATCCTTGAAAATTCAAATTTACAGTGATAATATTGTCTTTGATCTGAAATAATGAGCCACTATATTTACCAAGATTCCAGGAAATTAAAACGGTGGACCTTTTGAAGCCAGTAGGATGGGTTCATATATCATTATCTGGCACTGATCCCCGGTATGGATTTTTGTAACTTAATCATGTCAGGCCTATGATGCCTTTATTTTCCTTCCTCTAGGCATTGAAATTTCAGGACATCTGATGACATTACTATATATGGATTTATGTTTGCAGTTCCTGTAATAATTAAACTCCATGTCAACATGTTAGATGATCCATATTTTCAGCACACTGGCTGTGCAGGCCACTGCTTGCATAAATTTCATGGTTTACTATGTTATTAATGTTGTCTTGCTAGCAGCTGAATTTTCGTTAGGCTTTGACAATTTTGCAAGAATATCTGATATGTTCACCTCTCATTTCAGTGTTGTAATATGCCATTAGCTTCCAATTTGACATATAATTTGCCTACGAGCACACTTTAGAAATGTGTGAGGATTTCAGAACTAATATAAGAATGATATTGTTTGGATCCCACTGCTTAGTTTTACTGCCTTTGTAGACAGTTGCATGATTCTTTTTCTTGGCATATTTGTGCAGAGAAACATTTATTCATACATTTATGCTCCAAATCGCGGTGTTGGCCAATCACCTGAATGGGAGGGACACCCATGTCTGGCAGATCAAGATATATGGGCCACGACCGTAAGTTGGATACTACTGTACATGCAGCCACCCAACCATCTATTAGCATTCTGTAACACGACTATATATAGTAAATCATTTCTAGTGTTTTCATGCGTAAGACAAAAGGCCAAATGCAAGCACCATGCAAACAAAAGAAAAACCTGACAGGAAGAGTGTATGGTTGGTACCCTGTTTTATTTGTTGGTTGACCCGTAGTCGTATTTCCTAGCTAATAGATGCTGACATGCGAGTCACATACAGTGCTGATCGATACCTGACCACAGTCAGAGTTGGCGTAGAGGACTTAGATGTTTACAAGCAAATCACATGTTGGCGTAGAGGCATCTACATGTACCGCATTGTTTTTTCGTGCCATTCTTCTGAAGAATCTGAAGTTTCTGAAGCTTTGTTTGTAATGCTGCAGGGTTCTGGTAGCGACGATGACGGTCGTCAAGAGGTTCGTGGACTGGAGGGTGTCGTGGCTGCCGATGTACAGAGAAGCAAAGCTGCTGCTCGTTCTCTACCTCTGTCACCCCAGCACACGGGTAAGCAGTCAACCTGACACCCCGAGCCCGAGAGATGGATCAACATTCAGATATACTTGATTCGATATGTGGCCAATTCTAAATCTGAATCTTAATGATGTTTGGGTTTCAGAGTGCGGGGAACGGGGCACGTGTACGATGGCTTCCTCCGTCCGCTGGTGGCGAGGCACAAGGACGACATCGACCGGTCCAGTTGGAGCTGAGGGCCAGAGCGAGGGACGTGACTGAGTCGCAACTCAAGGCGGCAGCTGCCGTCAGTCAGGTGTGGCTCTTCGAGGCTATCCAATGTGTTTCGTCACAGCTGCAGGCCGCGGGATCAGGCCGGGCAGGCGCCGCACATTGACGAGTGGTCCAACTTTCGGATCGGGCCATAACAACTTACGTAGGTAGTTGCTTATGTAACTGTGCGATAGAATGAAATTATACATGAGTTGCTGCTACAATGAGGAACTGGAGAAAATACGACAACTGTGTGATAGAATGAATTTGGTTGATTTTTTTTAATTCCTAATAAGTTAGTAGTGGCGTGGGGATAAAATGTCGCGCTACTAGTATTTAGGATACTAGTAGCGTTGGGATAATAGACACGCTACTACTATTTCACTAGTAGTAGCGTGGTTCATAATAGCAGTAGCGCGGATTAAACCCTCGCTGCTACTAACAAAGTTAGTAGTAGCGCGGGTTCGACCCACGCTACTACTAACTTTTAGCTGTAGCGCGATACTAGTAGCGCGAGTATCCGCTCTACTGGTAGCCATTTTACCCGTGCTGCTAGTAGCCTTTTTCCTAGTAATGCATGTATTTGTTTCGTAAAAACTTATGGAACGTCATTTCTATATCTATACCTACTTACTAATAAAGCAAGGTGTGTTTCGCTGATTTTTTTCATCCGTTCACCCATGTAATATTTTAAAGTCTTTTTATCCGAGGTGGTACTATTTTTTGTGAACGAAACATCACATATTTTAGAAAAAGAGACGGCCAGTATGTTTTTTTTGCCGCAGCCACGCCAGCCCAATGGCGGCCCACTTAAGGGGTATAGGCCGGGCAAAAATATAATTTGTATGTGCATGGATTCGAAGTCACAATCTCTAAGTTGTCCAGCTATTGTACTACTAACTAAACTAGCTAAGTGTTTTGTTTATAAGGGAAATTAAACTTTTAAATAGTCCCACATCGCCGCCTCAAGTCCAAACCTCCCAATTTATATATATTTTTTACTTTTCTGGGCATAAGGAGCAATATCAAAAATCAACAAGTGAAGGGTGAAACCGAGTTTCCAGTTTAGAAACGATTTGAACGTTGCAACATGGAACCGACGTGTGGAGAGAGGAATATGAATGGAAAGGAATTGGGACATGGAAATATAAGGAAAAGGAAGGGCCTACCAATTTGACGGAATATAGAAGTAAAGGAATTATGACAGGGAAATATAAGGAAAGAAATCCTCGCCTGCTAATTTGACACAATTTGGAAGGAAATGAATTGTGACAGGGATATATAAGGAAAGCAGTCTACGGCTTGCTAATTTGATGGAATGTATATATATGTAAGGAAAGGAAGTTAAGAAGGTAAAAATAAGGAAAGAAGAAATTTGGGACAGGGAAAAGTTAGGAAAGGAATCAACGACTTCTTAATTTAACAGAATATGAAAGGAAAGGAGACAGGGGAGGGAGGATTGATGCGTGCGGCCCCCATCTTAGGTCCCCTTTCTTGCCAGCTTCGTTCTCCTCATCAGTTCCATCTTCTTAGACACCAACTGCTGTCACGTCACCAAGTGTAGTTCTAGCATCGCTGCCGCCGCCGACGAGCACCTCGTGCTACCAGCATGAAAGCCGTTCGTGCCTGCTGCTCTCCTGCATGGACAAGATATGAGTTAAACAACTCCTGTATGCTTTCGAATTGGCTATCTTGATTTTGGATCTGCATGTATCAGCCAGCTGGTAATAAGCACATCTTGTCCGAGTTCCTTTGAATAAGCACACTCCTTTCCGACCTTCCATGTAATATTGCAGTTACTAATTGTCTATGCACTGTAGCATGGAGCGTATAAATTTGACGGTGTACATCGTCAGCATATAATTGTTCTGTCGTCATTATCAACATGTGATTACCTTTAAAAGAGATGCAGTGAAACTTTATACGATTTCTCAACCTGATGGACAACTAACAACTCATCGTAGTAATGTAATGCATATAGGGTCAGAGCTTCTGAGAAATTTCAACTTAACTAAAAGTAATTACATCATTTCTTTATTTTTTGTGAACTATGTACCTAAAAAGTTAATCTTAAGGATTCATTCATGGCCCGAATTATCACATGTTTTACAAATATACATGTCCGCCAACATTAAGAAGTACATATTGTCTTTTATATAAAATGTTTTCATTGGAATTTGGAGATTGAAGTTGTTAGATTTTTTTAATCTGTTTTCAATATAATGTTTTCTAACGATTCTATTGCACTATATTTGGTATTGGAATAATCCCTTTAAAGAAACCTCTTTCAAAGGTAACATATTATGCATAGTATGTAACATTGAAACCTCTTTCAAAGGTAACGATTCTATTACATACTATGCAGACTATGTTTCATTATACATCAAAGGGTAACCAATAACATTAACATTGATGGCGTGTCTTTGTATGTAATTAGTATGCATAGTATGTAAATTCTAATTAGTGACAATATAGATGAGTCCCTAGGGTCATCATAGATGGATCGCCAGGGGCATGCGAGGATTTGTCTTTCCCATTGCAACACACGTGCACCGTGCATACTTACTGTTTTTTAAGATAAATTAGGAGTGTTTGAGTGCGAAGAATTTTTATCCATTTACAACACACACGACATTGATGTAATTTTATTACTCCGGTTGTTCATTATACCGCCATGATGTTTGATAAATAGACTGAAAGGTTCTCAATAAAAAATATTGTCAATCAGAGCAATTTACTCAGAATTCAAAACCACATGTCCTAACCTTCACGCCGTGATCCACCATGATACGTCTTTTTTTAGTCATCGGTGACCGTTACACGGTGACATAGTTCCTCAACTCAGACAATCATACTTCATAAAAACTGGTATTTTCTCCCGTTGCAACGCACGAACATTTTTGCTAGTCAAACATAAAATCAAGTGCAGAATCTGGAAATCACTTACGGAACAAAGTTTTTCTTGAGGCACAAATTCTTCTATGTAGGTCTCTAGTCTGGGACTCATTTGGAAAAATGGTGCCTGAAAGCCAGGTGGTGGTTGGAAAGGCGTGCGCCTAATGTCTTTCAGCTGCCATGCGGAAGGAAACAATGACGATCAAGTCATTATGTTGGGTCGAAAACTTCACCTAAGGGAAATGATGAAAAGTTGACTCACTGTGTGTTTCCCAAAAATTCCGTCCTTTGTTGACAGGCTGTCTGTGTTAGCATAATTTTTAATGGCCTCTGTGTCCCATATGGCAAGCCTTGCAGGAGTGTCAGATTTCAGTTCCATTATGTTTGTATCCAGGTACTCAAAATACGTTATCTGCAAGGGGATAAGAGGTAAAAATGAATCATGTTCTTGTAGCTGCCTGTGGGTATAAAGAAATGTACAATTTAATGAACGAACCACTAGAATCAGGAGGCAGCCACACAGGGCACCTGTGAATCCTTTGTCCTTGAAGGTCTGCAGTGATGCCACCAATTTCTCCGTGACAGCATTGGACCAATCATATGATGATATGTTACTTGCTAGTCCTTCTAGTGCGGCTAAGTAGTCGGGGCTAACGCAATCATATGTCGTTGGGCATAGAAATACCGATATTGCAAACATCACAAAAACCCAGTGAAACACTTCTCCTGTCAGCTCCGGGGTTATAAGATCAGTTTACTCTCTGATGTTTGGAGCGTGCCTAGCACA